CTAAGCTATCTCTTATTTATCCATTCCTTATCCTATCTCCTCTCGTCACTCCACTCATCCACCTAAACATTATCTTCTCTGCTACACCCGTTGTATGTTAAATTTTAGTATCTACCACCTAACACTCCAAGCCATGTGAAGTGCCCAAACGTTGATGGATTTTGAATACCGAACAAGTAAAATGACTATTCGTATTGCACTGCACTTAAAGAACTTAGGACAAGTTATAGTGAACCACTTTGATTTGAGGAAGATTTGTTTTTATTTATGAACAAGTAAACAGTGGCTTTAAACTCGTTTTGAAGGTCAAGTGCTCAAAATCACATCGAAATCGAAATGAAACTATATATTCTTCAAAAAAATTCAAACATACACTTTACACATACATGCGTTTTAAATAATATTACAAAGATTTCCTATACTTGCACAATAGCATTTCAACGTTAATCTGCATGGGAATAATTAACTGAAACCGTATGAATTTAATTAGTACAATAATATTCGAATAAGAGAAGTCTCAAGAAGAAAATATGACACGACATTGAATAAAATCGTGTTTACAAGATAACCTCTGCAAAACGAGATTTTATCACCAGACAAAGTTTCGTTCGTTGGTGTAATTATATATATTGTTATATGGTGAGCATTTTGTTATACAGAAAAAATAAATATGTTATGCATATTGTGACTCCACGTCTTTAACCGCGGAGGTAAAGGTTAAATAAATTGCGGTGATTTTTTGCGATGTTACCCATCCGTGAAACCACACGGCGTACGCCTGGGAAAATTGTCTAGCATACTATACAGCTTCGGACAGCTGCCTGTAGGATGATAGAATAATATTACGATGAACATGTTACTGCGATTGTGTCACTGCAACCGTATTCTTATATTGACTCAAGATAGATGTCGACGACGAAACAATAACGAATCATTACCGAAACATAATATAACATACGTACTAATAATAATATAACATTGTAATAACGCCTACCTTTCACACTGTTGCTGCGGCGGCGTAGTCGTGTTGCACAACACACAAATTCGAAACTAACGCCGGCCCGAGAATATTCGTCCTTGACGATCGATAATGCAGACGATAAGGATATAATATCGATTCGTTTTCGTTTTCGTTTATCGCACGGCGGCGCCTATGATAATAGTTGTTTAGCGAAATATTTTCGCTTACAATGTTACGTGTAACATGTGTTATACTACACGCGGAATTTTATAATATTATCGCTGTACGTAATTCGATTGGAGTCGGCAAGCGCGTTCGTTATCGTCGTCACGATACTGATAAGCGGGACGGTGTCTTTGGAGTGGCGAACGCGAGTTCCGGAGACGGATTGATGATGCCGGCCCGAGGACCGTGAGATTGAGACCGGTAGTCCGCGCGTGCGAAGGATTGTTGACGACCTTTGCGCGAGCCAACCCGACAATAACGAATAAGTGCACTTGAAAACTGGTTTTTTTTTCTACCATCCTACCGGTTTTTTACCCATTCGGCGACGGTGACCGGTGAAATTCAGTTCCCTTTCCTTCCAAATAATACGCACACACACACGCGCACTCGCTCTATTACACTAATTATTACTGTATCGATTGCTATACTATTAATATTACAAACGATACCTATATAGATACCGGAAACGCGTGTCGTTTTATGCGTATCGTCGTCGTCGTCCTCTGCAATATTATTTAATATAGTAAATAGGTAATATTATTATATATTATAATATTACCTTTTATTCACTACTCTATGAAAAATTCGTTTAAATATATTAAAAATATATTGTTAAAATATAATATGTATATAAAGTAATATTTATAAAATATATAATATATATATAAAGTATAATATGTTAAAATATATTTAAAAATATCGAAAGGAAAATAAGACGGTTTCATGTAAAGTTCGATTGAACATGTTTCAAAACTCTATACAATTTTTACGATTTCCACTATAATTTGAATTGAATTTGAAACACTTATACATTATACAACTACAAGATTATGCTCGATTTTTTTTTCAGTTCACTCGTTTACCCGCTAAAAATGTTTTATTCATATGACTTACTCAAGAAATGCACCAATTAAAAAATATATTTTTTCTAAATACTACACTTGAAATTTGGAGCAAGATTTCTAGAAAAACAGAAATAAAAATATTGGAACCGTTACTACCGTAAATTTATCAATTTTTCCGATATTTGTTCACGAGTTTTCCCAAGTATATTAAGACAAATGTAAGGATTAATCAAAGGGAAAAGATCTCTTAAATACACCAACTAGATAAAATTAACTTTCAGAAAATACGCCACACTTAAAAATCCGAGTAAAATTTCTGGTAGAAAAGTTGTTAACAGCAGAAAAAAATGTAATAAAAATAAATTGCATATCATAGTAAAATCAACACATTCCTCGTTGTGTTCAGAATGACAAAATCTACAAATATATCGGAAGAAAAAACAATATATGTATATTATGCTCAGTCCGGTTATATCGTATTTCAGTTATTCACTTTTTTTTTCATAAACATTTTTTAAATTTTTTTGTTATTATTGAAGACAGGTAATAGCGGAGGGAGAATTATTGAATTAGAATTACCGAATCTGCGAGAGACCTCCAAAAAACGTATAGACACACCTATATAATAATATATTATGATGTTCACTACGTGCATCACGGAAATACATTTACTAACGTTTTCGGTCGATCGCTAGCTTTTGGATCCATAAAAAAAAAATGTCACATCGAAAAACAGCACGAAAGTTTTTGTTTAGCCGAACAATAATACTATTTTCAAATCTGCTATTGCCCGGCCGATTTTTACGACGCATAACTGTGACTTGTTGGTCGTTTAGACACTCGTTTTATCGGAAAGTATATACACTTTTTTTGGAAGTTCTTAGAAAATTCCAGAAATAAGAAGCTCTAAAATATTACATTATCATTGATTTTTTTTTTTTTAAATTTTTTAGAATGAAACCATTTTATATACAAACTTTTACCTATCAAATAAAACCTATATTCAAAATTCTATAAATTGATGAAGTTTTAATTTAAATAAATCTTGGTGATGACATTTTTAATTTCTACAGACCCATTGAGATATTTCATGTTTATTGTTACACAAAGTTTCAATAAAAAAAAAAAAAGTTTATTTTTTTGTTGGTTGAAAGAAATTACAAATGGAGTATCATTTATATGGCAGTGTGGTGCGTGGTGTTAGAAAGTTCCCTACTACTCTTCTCCTATCCACAACTTAAAAGTGGAATATCTCGTCAACGAGCTGACGGACATTGAAAATTGTAACACCAAAATGTATGTAAACTCAAACTTATTCTACATTTTTAAAATATGTTTGCTATTTTAAAATCAAAAGTGGGTTGTGGTTTAATAAATAAGAGTGACAAAAAATAATGGTTATATGAAATTTTAGAGCTGATAGTTTTTAATAAATTGTCTAAAACACTAATTCCATAAAAATTGAATACTAAAATATGATACAATGTGTTTTATTTTATGTTGATCATCCTATATATGTAGGTAATTTGGTGTCCCTTATATTGAAGATAAATATTCTTTATTTTTAGTCCCACCCCCGTGTATTTGCATAAAAAAATGCAAATACACAAATTTGTCTTCGAGGGGGACATCATTTTCGAGAAAAATTTAATTTTTATTTTTTTCCCTTAAATATAAAAAATATTTTTTTTTTTATTCTCTTTATAAAATTTTTAAGAAATAATAATTTTGTAAAAAATATTATTCTAAACATTTTAACGTGTCACCCATTCATATCCGATGAATAGTTTCTATGTAACAGCAGTTTTAAATTTTAATGTTTTAGAAAAGACACTTTACTACGTAAGTTAATACGTCATTTTCAACTTCTATATTTATATCTAAACATAGATTAACTACAAAATGTGTATTTTATATATAATAAAATAATAAAGTAAAAACAAAACTATTAAAATGTTTAACACTCGAAAATAAATATATAAATAAAAAATGTACGTAAAAAAATAAAAATAAATAAATTAATGAATGCGTATTATGATAAGTGTATTATACGTTCGGTTTCGAATTAAAAATTCATCATCAGGTATATCACAGTCAAAATGTAAAATGCAACTGAATATACAAATTAAATGAAGAAATACATAGAAAAAATTTATTTTAGTAGGAAAGATTATTTAAAATTGGTTATTAGTATTAATAGTATTATTAGGCAATAGACATAGATATGTTAAGAAATACAAATTATTTGGTTAAAGTTAAAAATATGTATTGATATAAGATATTATTGTTTTTAAAATATTATTAAAATATATTTTTCTTTTTTTCATTGTATATATGTAATTCTTCTAAAACTGAATTAATATAAATGTTATTTTAGGTATTTAATATCTCTAAGTCTGTATTAATATCAAAGCTTATATTATAGTTATTTTTTAAAACATGTTTAGCGAAATTTGAATTAAAGCAGTCTTTTTAAATTTTATTTCAGAAATGTGTTTTTTATATCTCATTTTAAAATTTCTAGTTTAACAAAAGATATTCAATGTTATCAAAGTTTCAGTACCGTATAATAATCTACAATCCATATAATCCATATTTATTTATGCATTTGGAACACTCGATTTTCCCATTGGGCACAGTCGCATTATCATGTCGTCGCATTAATACGTATACAGTTATATTGTGTGCAGTATTCCTGTATTCAATACAATATAATATTATTATTTTCCCAAACTAATGGCGCAACGCAAATGTAGTACGCATCCCCACACCAATTAAAAGCAAATTCGTCATTGAAAATTATAGACCTTTACCACTGATTTGCGCACTAAGCAAACTAATAGAAAAAATAATTAATAAACGACTAATTTGGAACTATATTTCAACCTCCATTTCAAAGAGGATCCGCAGCCATAGAAAATGATTTTAAAGAGTTGAATACACAAATATTAAAATTTGACGTGTATCCAATGTCTGCGGATAAATTTGTAATAAAACAATTAAAAAGTATAAATAGCAACGCAAAACTTTTTAAAAGGAAACATATAAGAAACAAACAATTAAAACAAGTAGAATCAACTGATCAACTCGAAGAAACGAAAAGACAGGACAATCTATCTAACGGACATGATAAAGAACTTGATGATTCAATAAATGCTATTGAAAATTGGAAAGGTAAAGGAACCTCAGATAATATTTTTGTTAAATTTAACACAAAAGAAGAAAAATTAAACCGAAATTCAAAATACATGAGACCAACGAAAGAAATTGACAGAATATTATCGACAAGAAAAACTCGATCGTCCAACAATAATTTATTATTTTTATTATATTTATTATATATTATATTTATATTAATTTATTAGAAACAAATACGCACGTATCAAGAAAACGTTTATCGTTACGAAATATTTGTCCTTTTAATGCAGTTACCGTTTTAATTACTGTTGCTTATACGGATAATCCAATGTACCAAAAGTTTGTTGATGAAAGTATAAACAACGATTTCCTCCAATTTTCCAAGAATCTGGTAGCAACTGAGCCAACAGATACCATTTATAAAAACCTAGTCTCATTATTGCAAAAAGTATTTCTAGCTGATTCTGGGGTTACAGATACAAAAATAATCAACACTGAATATAATCTTGGTTTTTCATACGAGAAAATCGTTCAATAGTTTCATCCATTGGTATACTTATTTCTTGGTACGTGTGCAACAGTGCAAGCCCGCATCAAATATAATATAATTAATGTAGATTTTTTCTATTTTTATTTCGGTTTGCAAAATATTTATAAAAATATTAAAATATCAATAAATTATGAGTAAATTAACGTACCTTCACAAATTTTAAATTCAAGTTAGCACGGGTTAACATTTGACCCAAAACTTTTTGTAGCTCATTTTTTATGCATGTAGCTATATAAATTTAGGGGTGAGACTGAAAAATAATCGAGGCATCCATCCTAATATGTACCTGTTATGATAATTAGGTACCTATATTAACAAATAATGAAAAATGTTCCGTGTAACGTTCATTAAAAACGAAATTTATACTTTTGCGGATAAATAATTTGCAGTGATCAGAATTTTCGATTTTCTATTTTCTAACGAATTAAATAGGTATATTTGTGCTTCATGTGCAAATTGGTCGTAAAAAAATAAATAAAAATGCAAAAAAATTTCAATACGAGAGAGGTTTTTCTTTATTTATACATTTTTCCACTTAACCGAAGGACTGCTACAGATTCAGAGTGCATCACGTGCTTTACCGGGTTCCTTATGAAAAAGCAGTGTCCTCGGGTTGAACTGGCGCTTTAAATTTATGGTAGTTGAAGGGTTACGTGAATTTAATATTATTATAATTTGTAATAGACTCGGTTATCGTGCAAGAACTTCTATAGTATCAAGTGCAACAAAACGTACCAACCGTTTTTATATTATATTATTATTATGTTATAGTACCTATCATTGAAACTTTACGAGGTCATTTGCACGAGCGTAAATAAACTTTTTTCTGGCTCTCGTAAATTTTGCAACAAAATAATAATAATATATAATCATGATAATAATACAGGGTGTCCCACGAAGATATACCCATTGTAATATCTCCGGATATAATAAAGATAATCAAATTCTATTTTTTTTATATTACTCATTAAGATAAGGACTAAAAATATTTATATTGCAACTGCAATATAAGTTGCAAAAGCACTTTTTATTTTTATTATTTTTGAAAAATTTTAAAATAGCCGTTTTATAGAGTTTATTATTCTAAAAAAGTTGACGTTTCAACTTTTTATTTTCATCAAATCCGTGATTTGTAATGATTTTTTAAAGTTCAGAGAAAAGAAGTATACATAGTCTATTAATCGTAATAATAATAGTCAATTAGAGAATGTTATTACAGTCTGCTGTACAATATTATAGGTACTTTACTCTGAACTTAAAAAAATTATTATAAATCACGGATTTAATGAAAACAAAATATATAGACTTTTAATAATTTTCCAACCAGTGTTTCGTATGCGATAGTGTAGTAGCAACGATTGATTTTTTTTATACTGAATTTATATTTAAAAACAATGAAAATATGGATTTGTAAAATGCATTATATTATAATGAAATATTATTTTCTGGATGTGTGTGTGTTTTTGTTAAGGTAACACACATTTTTAAAACATTTGGAATATTCGAGAACTGCGTTCCACAATTCTTCGTTGTCGAGTATAATATTAATTTCTTAACATTTTTGAGCATTATTTATAATTCCGAAAATGCACTTTTAAAATAACTGTCGATATATTATACGACATGGCCGAATAAAATAGCAATAAATGTATTAAGTTCCTAATTATTATTGTTGTCAATTATTATCGAAGTAGTGGAACGAAAAAGCAATATGACGTCATTATTACAACATTTTAACATTATATATTACGCGTTTATGACGGTGTTCTTTTTATCCAAGAAACCTAAATCCATACCGAATGTTGTCCGAATAAATGTCGGTCGGGTCTGCAGAATAATCTTTTTCGAATGATGTAATAATAATAATAATAAATCACTGCGGTTGTTGTCGTTGTCATATTACGATAACGCAACAATAACCGACAACATCTGTCACGGCGACGAGCTTTTTCGAATAGTTTTTTGAAACATGAATTGTTTTTGTAAGTAATATTACGTGTGTATGGCCTAACAGGAATGCAGAAGTTCTTGGATATCGAATTTTCGAGGAGGTTGATTAAAATATAAAATCATTTTGGTATTTTGTTTTTTTCAAATTGCACCTTTTTCCCGTTCCTAGTGTCTTTTCTGAAAATAATATGATGATATCTTTCTATATATTATCTTCAATTTCAAAGGCTTTTAAAACCCATCGCTGATCCAAACAGCCTATCCACTCTTTTCTATCGTATTCGTTTGCCACATATTTCGAATAATTGTCTCTAATTTCTTGGATTATTAATATTTTTTTCCATTTTATTCCATATTCATTTTCTGATTTCATTAAAATCTCCACAGATGTGGATCCATGAACCCCAGACCCCCACTCAAACATTCAGATTAGATATTTTATGTTTATTTTTGATGCCGGTTGAACAACTAAACGAAAATTCGATGGGACGCTTCAATACTTAGTGCTAAATGTTGGAATTTTCGAAATGGCCGGGTTTTCGCAACCCACAACGTACGTGTTTATATGAACAATCCAATATTATTTGGTAGAAAAAATTATTCGTTTCCACTCATTACTAGGTCAGAATAGATATTTTTGTACAATGTATATAAATATTTATGAAAATATTTCCGGCTATTATTTTAGATTCTGAGTGAAGTAAGGAATGTGTTGGTTTTATTATAATATGTTTGTTTTTTTTTTTTTGTATTTATTTACAACTGTTCTAGAAAACTTACTCTAATCGAAAAATGTTAATAGACCTTGTTTATTGAATTCTAGATCTATTTGGAGCATTAACGTTAAATACTAAGTATTATAAAACGAGTACAATGCATGTAATATTTCAAATGGTTCATACACTTTTTTTTTTATCTGAAAACATGAGTTAATAGTAATTAAACTGGGGAATTATTTGATTCTAAGGCTATTTTATTATTCTTACAACACAACATCTTTGTGATAGTAACTAGAAAAAATGAAGACATAATACTATGTTCATAAAATCGTAAATTAATAAATATCTTATGCACATTTGGTAGCTTATGCATGGATGCATTCCAGTAAAATGTTTAAATTGTATAATACAATAATATATAACCTATTAGGTCATGGTTAGACAAAGAAATCGGATGAACACACTGTTTTATCTGAATAAAACCTAATCTTTAATCCTTTTTTTCTTTTAGTTGCCTAGTATAATATAAAAATAATTTAAAGATCTACGGTTGTGCAAACAATTAAATTAACAAATTATTATTATAATATTGAACATAGAGTATAATTAGGTTTCTCAATATTTTGTTATATTGTACACATTTATTTGTTTTGTTTTTTTATTCCAAGGAAAAAAAATAATAAGGTGACCTACCTAACCTATATAATATGTGGTAAAAAAATGTATAAGTACTGTAAAATAATAAAATTGTATTTATAACCAATTTGATAGGGGACAAAATATAAAACAATTTTAAACGGAAATTAATAAAATAACTATGAAAAAGTAGGTACTTATACGCGTATAATAGGTATTATACTAGATGGTCAGTGTTTATTTCAACGGAGTAACAGGCGGTATCCCCTCCCATGAAAAAATTTCAAAAGAAAAGACGGATTTGTTTAATTTAATTTATTTAAACAAATAACAACAATAATAATAATAAGTGGTAGTAATAAAAATACCGAAATGACTAACGCTCAGAACGCAGTAGGTACTATTAATAATATTATTTAATTACATATGCATTTTTTTTCAGTATGAATAATGTATGATTTTTTTTTTTTTTGTAAACACAAATGTATGTCAGGTATTTTATGTGACAAGAAAATTCCAATGAAACTTAAAGTTAAGTTTTATAAAAGTACAGTGAATCTGACTATAGTTAGTGGTATGGAGTGTTTTGTGGTAGACAGAAAAATAGAACATAGAATGAGTATAGCTTTAGAAATGAGAATGTTTATGTGGATGAGTGGAGTAAGGAAAGAATTTGAATAAGGGTAGAGTAAATAAAAGTTACGTAGCTTCGATATTAGACAAAATGAGAGAAAAAAGACTATAGATGGTTTGGACGTGATATGAGGAGAGAGGAATCTGATACAGTAAGAATTGTAATGCAAATAAACATAAGTAGAAAGAGATGGAGAAGAATACCAAAAAAACATGTGGGAAGCAAGGCAGCTATAATCCTATAACCAATAAGTAATAAACTAATACAGTAATATTAATTATTATCTATCTTAATTCCTAATATTATTATCAGATATCAGTACAAGAGTTCTTTAAATAGATAGGTTTTATGTCTCATTATCGCCAAACGTATATTGTCATGACTTACACATTACACACAATAATGTAAGGAGTTTCAACTATAGTCTATACTTTAATACTCCATACCAGCATTACGGTAACCATACTGGTCATACTGTATGACTGAATATAGCTATACGCCTATACGGTACACAGGTTTCTCGCATAGGTATAAGGTACACGCAATTCGAATTCTCTAAACTCAAAAGAGTAAAGACATTATTATTTATTGTTATTATTATATTAAAATAAATAATATAATATGTGTTATTACAGATTATAGTGGGAATATCATATAAGAGATCTCGAGAATCGGGGCCTCCAAAAACTGCGGGCCTCTGTGAATTTCACACCCAACACTCCCGATAATTACGCCACTGATTGAATCCCGTTATAGTATTTAATATAACAACAGTGAAACGGTACGCACATAGGTGAAATCAGAGTAAAATATTTGAGAAGGAGCCTGAAGCACCCTTGTAAATTTTTTTGATCAGTGCTCCTCAAAAGATTTTCTTTCACCCTTTCCTCTTTAGTTAAAAAATTAGCTTGTTAGATGGCAGACAAAACTTAAAAATAAAACAAAAAGTTACTTTAATGGATTTAATATAATTTTGTGCGTTCTACCTATAACTTTATTTTTTTATTTTATGAAGTAAATTTATTTAAAATAATTTCACCGTTAACAAT